TTTATTTGTTCCTTTCCACATGTTTAGCCAAGATTAAATATTATATAAATCGATGCAAGGAAGCAACAAGTAGATATATTTAGAATATCGGTATGCATAAAGAAAAGCGTAGAATATGCATAAATATAAATACATATGTATAAAAAGGACAAGAAATATGTTGGTCTTATTATGCAAGTTATTTTATAGAAAACGTGATAATTGTTTTTAATTAATTAACTAAAATTTATTTCAATGAAGCATTGATTTTACCCTAATTTTTTGTAACCTATCCATCTATTTTTGATTGAGAAATTGGCTTTATACCGGTCAAGTAATATGTGACGTGAGATTCTAAATATTTTGTCGAGAAACGCTAAACTTTTTAAATTATTTTAGAATTGATCGTATAATACAATTATATATTCAATTTTGGATGCAGTAATATATATGAATATATTAAAAATAATTTTGGTAGAAAATGAAAAATATAACGAAATATATTTATGTCGATATAAAAGTTTATAAAGATTTGCATATATTATTTATAACAACTCGATTATTTATTAATTATAATTGTGGGAAAAGTTTCTTTTTCTTAAATTTCACGTCATTTATTCTGTATATCTTATTTGATACATTTTCAAGATGCGTACCACATATACGGAGAAAACATTTGGCACATAAAAACAATATTTAAATTTTATATTATAAATGTAAAAAATGTAAAAAAATCGTTAAACACCGGTGGAAAATTAATGTACAATTAACCAAGTATTTCCTAGTGTGCTATCGATTAATGGTGCAATAAACATGTGAACGCCACTTTTAACATTGCAGAAAATAAGTTTAAACTTATGTTATTATAAGTAAAACTAAATCTACGTTGCTTGCTTTATCTAATATTTATAATGTTATATTTGTATGTGCAATTTAAATGAGAAACTTGGATAATCTTTGTTTTGAGATACGATTCGAGTTATTAATTTCAGGATTCGTTATTGATAACGTAGAATGGTTGATTTTATAAATTATTTTAGAGCGCAAAGAACAGAACATCCAGCACAACATATTTATTTCTATTAATTTTTACATTCGATCACAGATTTCTTATCAAAACGCTGCTTGAGTCCATAAAAAGATAATAGTATATACTTCGTCTAAAAAAGTATTCCGTCAAGTTTTAAATAGCATTAGTGTTAAGTTTTCGGACATTGAGATATAATACATTGTTTAACGGCAATGTCATGAGTACCCTTGGATCAATTTTTACCGAAGTTTCCTCGCACGATTCCACTTCGTATTTGCTCAAGATCATAAGCAATGCTAACTTTATTTGTAAAAGCCCGAAGCGTTGACCTACAGAACATATAACAGTATAATATTCTATATTATTTTAACGAAGAAGAACTAAAGAAATGTACATTACTATCTTAATATATAAAGAGCTATATTAAAATTCATTTTCTTATCTATACACTCATGTGAGCCTCCTCCGAATGGTAAATAGACGCCTGACGGTCTCTCACGTTTGTTCCTTTTCTTAAATTGCTCTGGATCGAATATATCGGGATTGGGGAAATATTCCGAATCATAGTGTAGGCCAAGTATCGAGATGTAAACCGGTATATCCTCCTCAATTACAAGATCGTACTCCGGCACTTTATAATTTTTCATAGCTATGCGATTTAGGAACTCCAATGGCGGGTACATTCTCAAAGTTTCTGATACCATCATATCGAGATACGGTAATGACGTTTGTATCTAGTAATAATAAACAATGCATAAAAATAATTTTTTATTTAGATTAGAATTGCACATAGTCAAATTTTAAGGTTTTCTCTTAATTTTTAGTTCACTTTCTCTGACTTAAAATATATTGTCATTGCATTATAAATTATAAATATATATAAAATTATATTTAAAAATATATATATATTACTAAAAATAATTTATAAAGATAAAATGAAAAATTTACGAGAGGAAAATAGTGGATGATAGTCACATACCATGTCATAATGTAATTTTCCATTAGATTTCTCGAGTGGTTTGAGAAGCTCTTTTCGCAGAGTTTTTTGAATCTCAGGTTGTACCGCGAGTTGATACAACGCGAAGGCCGTAGTTGTTGAACAGGTTTCAAAACCAAATAAGAAGAAACTAGCTGCTTGTGC